CCAGGGTTCTCCTGAAATAGTCCGGCTGAGTCACTGGAACCGGAATAACCGCCTCCCTCCCTCCCTCCGCTCCGCTCCGCATCCCAGTGTTCCGCCCTGATCAACAGGCCGGGCACCATTTCTTCAAGTTCGGCTTCTGTGCAGATAGAAGCGGTGAATATGTGGCTGCTACCGCTGATCAGAGCACATTCTGAGAATTTCAGTCGCTGTGGCTGATAGGCCCATTGAAAGTCTTCACAGAGCTGCTCACATTAAGGACTAGTAGCCTGAGTTGGAGTTAAGAAAAATAGATGTAACGAAATAACACACACACACACACATGCACACACATACACACATATGCACATACATACATATATAGACATACATATATAGACATATATGTATGTATGTGTATATATACATATATATGTATGTATGTGTATATATATAACTCAGGAGAAAACAACCAAAGTCTTTTTCCTTGTAAGACAAGGTCGGTAAGTTTAAAAAATTTGGTAAAGAAAATTAAGTTTTTTGGGTACACTAGATCCTTAGAATTTCCAATGTGTATTTAATGTCATATCTTCATAGTAATTGTTGGCTTTTTAATATATCATGAATATTTCCTTTTAGTTTAATCATAGCAACAGATTACAATGCTTAGGGCTGCTGAAGTAAGCATGTATTTTTTGAAATTCGTATCATGGGGTTCAAGTATAAAGCTGGTTTATTTCAACGATTAGATGCAGACACTGTAATTCTAAAGGAGCATACGGCTCTGGCTTAATGGTGGTAAATTTTGTCTAAGGATCGCTCTGTTGCAGTGCTCACCTGGATGAAAGAGGGTTGGCTGCCTCTAAATCCAGTGCGGTCGGGAGGGTAACATGCCCATCAGTTGGTTACATTTTATGTGACAGGGGCTCGGTGTTAATACAAAGAAGCCCTCTGCATTGACCAAAGAGCCTTGGTTATAGATTAATGTAGGGTGGAAATATTTAATTTTAGAGATATTTACTTACAGGTTGCATTTACCTGAACTTTTCTTTGAGATTGCATTCTTTAACAAACTTGGAAATTGGTTTCTATATGAACTTTATCCCAAAACACCAAGCAAGTCAAACATTACTAAAAGTTACTAGACCTGTGGTATTGTGGTTAAAGGAAATGGTTATGATGGTTTTCAGAAGAGGAAGTGAGAGTAACATCAAAAGTGATTTGGGTACTTGGGCAAAATACCTTTTTTTGTTAAAGCATTCATTACACATTTTTATAGTATAAATACACCCTAGCTTTACATATCCCACTTTCATAAGTTAAATAAGATTAAACTAAATTCTAGGCATTTCAATTTTTATAATTTCAGTTAACTGCTTTTTCTCAAAAGCGTATTTTCTTTCACTTCCTGTTTTGAGAAACTTCAGGCTCTTGTATTATTGAACTGGTAAAATTTAAGATGAGTTGAATATAATCATTATATCCAAGTGTCAGATATTTTGAGTTACTGAAATGTTATATATTTCAGTACTTAACATTTATAGTTTGTTGAAAAATATTTTGTCTGCCTTGTCTGATTGTGAGTTCCCTCTGGGCAGGGACAGTGTTACTCATTTTCTAATTACTAGTACTCTGGGATTTATCAGGTCCATGAGACCTTCAAGGCCTTGTTGAAATGAACGACTACAATATCTGATATATGTGTATATATGTGTGAGTGTGTGTATATATGCATATATAATCTTTCTCTAGTTTTAATAAATTTGGGTTTGCACTCATGTAATTTTGCATACAGATACATCAGATAGATTTTGAATCTTTCAGCTGTAGATGTGTCTATAAGACTGGCTAAGGATTGAAACATTTGTTCAAAAATCTTGCCAAAAAAAAAAAAAAAAGAGTAAGATCTGTTCACCATGTGTTTATAAGGCTCATGCTTTCTGCATTTTTATGACAGTGTAAACCACATTATCGTTTCAATCTCAGTCTCTTACAGTCCTCAAAAAAACCTTCCACCATATAATACATGTCTGCCAATCAGTTATATTTTTATTAATGCGTGTGTGCATTAGATTGTCTGTCAGATCTGATTACTTTGCTCTGTTTGCAAGTGTGCAATGGAAATATTTTAGTGAGCATATGAAAAATACTTCAGTGACCTATAATCAAGAATGTGCTTTAATGCTCATTAGGGGGAATGTAATATGGTTACTGAAAAATGTTTCCCATATTAAAAAAAATTCATCAGTTGTGAAATTTTTGAGATCTTAATATGTACTGGTTATGGAAATTTTAGAGAACTTGTCTAATCGGGGATGTAGGAACATATAAAGGAGGATTTTAGGGAAAAGACATGAAAGTGGTAGGTACTTTAACATTTAAATTTATTTTTTCTGAATTCCTTAAAGTTTTGTTTTTTATTTTTATTATTATTTTTGTTTGTTTGTTTTTATTGATTTCTGAGAGGAAGGGACAGGGATAGAGAGGTAGAAACATCAGTGATGAGAGGAAACCATGAATCGGCTGCCTCCTGCACGCCCCACACTGGGGATGGAGCCTGCAACCCAGGCATGTGCCCCTGGCCAGAATCGAACCTGGGACACTTTAGTCCGCAGGCTGGCGCTCTATCCACTGAGCCAGACCAGCTAGGGCTAAAGTTTTATTTTTTATTAAAAATATGTCTTCCCTTTTCCACATCTAATAATACCACTCACTTATGTAGTGATTTTTCATATTTTTCAGGCTACTTTTATATCTCAATGTGGCATGGCAGGCAGTTTGTTGATGGGTGGTAGAGTACTGGACCAGAGCTTAGGAGATCAGCATTCCAATATTCGGTCTGTCACTGTGTTCTGTAACATTGAGTAGGTGTCGTGACTTCCCTGCGCTTCATTTCTCCTCATCTATGAAATGGGAGAAAAATAACTGTAAAAGGAATGCTAAAGTCGATTCCAGCTCTGATAATGTTATCTTTACAAATTCATTGCCAAGTAGCAGGGTAGAAGTTATGGCTCATTTTAGATAGTAACTTGAGCTCTAAGTTTAGTTTTCTGTAATAAGGGATGGTAATGCTCTGCCTACTTCACTGGATTGTTTGTGAAGATAAAAGACTAACAATGTGAAAATTGTTTAATAAAATGTCTAGGAGTGTAAGGTAGCACTTATTTAGAAGTCTCAGCAATCTTTTGAGCAACATGTTTTTCTGAAATTTTACCATTAAACACATTCCCAAATCCCAAAAGAAAACTTTTTTTTTTTGCTGAGTTTAAAAAACATTGTTTTGTTATTGTCTACTCTTTCTTGTTTTTTCTGTCTCTTTTTCTACATCACCAACATGAACTTGATAACTCTGTACCAAAAAGGTCTCAGTTAATACTTGCATTTTTTTGCTCTCGTTAAATTATTACCTCACTCTATAAAGGACGGAAAAGACCCATCCCAACTTTTTAAAAAATGAAATATTTTTGCAGATTTCAACACATTTACTTTTTTTTTTCTCGCTTAGAGCAACATTTTTTCCCCACAGCCCTTTTCCCATGATTATGGATAAATTTATTTTATGGGGGGAAAATCAATAGAATAGCAGTGTAAAAGTGAAAGTTCTTGGCTGGTTTCTTCTTATCTAATGGAGGAAAAAAAGATGCATGTGATGCAGGGCAAGGTGAAAGGAGGGTGGCCAGCTTCAGCCCTCCCTTTCACTGTTATGTTTTCTTTTCATAAGATTTTTTTCTTCCAGTAGTATTTCATTATCAAGAGCCTTAAACATGTTTAGAATAAAATGTTATCCCTCCATAAATCTGAATTTAAATTATATATTATTTATTTAAACAACAAATCCTATT